GAGGAAAGGTAGAGTTGGGTGTCATCCGCATACATGTGGAAGTTAACCCCATGTCTGCGGATGATGTCACCGAGGGGGAGCATATAGAGGGTGCAGAGGAGGGGACCGAGGACAGAGCTCTGAGGGACACCGCACCAGACAGTGCGGGGGGTGGAGGAAAAGCCGTTCGTGGAAAGAAAGTGAAGATGGTGGGAGAGGTACGACCTAAACCACTCGAGGACAGGGCCTTGAAGGTTGAGGTGGGAGGACAAACGGTGGAGGCGGATAGCATGGTCGACCGTATCGAATGCTGCCGATAGGTCGAGGAGGCAGAGGGAGTCTTGGTCGCAGATGGTCAAGATGTCATTGGTGACAAACTATTTATCAAACTATAAATTAGCAGCATCCTCTCTATAGAGCAGATGATGCATTTTACATCAATGTGAACTAGTGAACTTGCATAATATTCATACAGTCCTGTAATTGTCCTTTGCTCCTATTGATTCATAAAATAATATTTGTTCTGCTTGAAACATATGTAACAACATGTTTCCACAATCAGTAGCTTCTGAAAAAAATTACTATCTTGAAATGTTCATTTATTTACAAAAATGGTTTTAAAAATTTGAAGTAATGAGTGGTATTATTTTCTCTCTTTAAACACTTTAAAATCTAAACCATCACAATCTATGTGTAAATTATAGCTTGTGACAGTCCCTATGACTAATCTTAAATATAACCAAAACATTTAATAGCGTCATTGAACAAGAAGCGCTTAACTGTGCGTTAACAATGGTTCAATGGTGCTGTTAAAATTAAATGCTTAACTATGTGTTACGGCCTTATCCGACTCCTGTTTACTAACCAGTTAATGTTAAATTAATTGATATTTGTAAATAGTTGAAGAAACATTCTGCTGTTATTGGAATATTTGCCGTCCTCTGCACATGCTGCTTTTTTGCCCTGTTTGTTTGCCCCATCTTCTAACGTCAAGGAATCCTTGGTCACGAGTAATGCTAAAGTTTTTATTTCTACTCCAAATATAAACTGTTTTTGTTCTGGTCATTGACGAATGCAATCGCTCTTTCATTTAACATTTATACATGCCTTTAACCTATTTTAAAGCAGATCATAAAACGGTTTCCTCGCTACTCCATCAGATTCCCAAAAATAACACTTCGGAAAATTTTAAAACCTGTAGTAAATGGAAAATCTGAAACAAACACATGTTCATCAGCTTGACAGAGTAAATATGCTCATCTTGTGCTGTTAGCACTGGAATTAAAAACAGTACAGACCTTTTAATTGGGATGGAGGTAGAGGTGGTCAGGATTTATTTCTAACACAATGCATCTTTTTTTCGTAGGAATCAGACCATTTGAGACAGACCCTTAACAATGATTAGATTATACTTCAGCCAAAAGACATTCTAAGCAAATATTATCCATGAATTATTCTGGTAATTCCATCGCATTTGCAGTTCTCTCTCGGAATATTCTGACAAATTGTATTTTCTGTAATGCACATCCTTCTTTGCAAAATTAATATTTTAAAGACCATCGGGTCTGAAAAATCACCGAGTAATAATCGTAGCACTGCATTACAGAAACATGCTCTTGTGAAGGATACATGGAATGCAGCAAATTACTATCATTCTTATCACTGCTTAACTTCAACAAGGTTTGGTCTGTCTATCATAAGGAGTTGGAGGGAAGGGGGAGAAGAAGCCATGTGGCATTGCATTACAATACATTCAGAGACTTTCTAATGTTCTGTGCACGGTTTTTCTTCCTCATCAAATTTATTTCACAGGATTGGACTTGAATTGAGTTCAGTACCTGTGCATTCATCAGGCTTTTCTGTATGATGTTGCAATATAGAAAACTTCCTATTCACATCCCCCTAATTAAAGGGGAGGGAACATTTAAATGGACAAATATACTTTGTGAGAGAGACCAGAGGCAGGTAAATACAGTAGTATTTCATTATAACAAATCCTATTATTGCCGAACTCTCCTTTGTTGGCATTTCAAAGCAACATTGGAGATACAGCTTGAAGGGTATGGGTAGCACAGTAGGTAAGTAGTATTCCGGGATCCAAAGTTTAGTCTAGACTGATGGGAGTTCCTCTGTTTAGTAAAGGTAAATATATCCTGGGGATGCTGGGGATATGTGTGAAGTTTCCATCTCTCAATTATGTTCCAGTGTGCTTTAACCAACAGAAAAGAGTTGGTGGTGTGTGAGTGATGGGGGGGTCGGTGGGAAACATGCCAACCATTGACATGCCTGATGCTTCTGAATTGGTTGCAATTCAGTTTGTTTCAACAGAATCAACCTTGTACATTGCTTCTTTGAACATAGTTAAAAAAAAATCCTGTGTTAGCCTTAACACACTGCTTGCAAGCCACACATATAACCCACGTTAGATGATAATGGATGCCCAGGCTTTTACGCCACCCATTTTCTACAGCCATGCCAAGGAGAAGAACATACAAGCAAGCTTCTGTGTTTGAAGCACAGCCAGTGGTTATTTTATTTCACTATTACAAATGTGTGTGATGTGAGCCAAGCCCACTGCTGTCTAATAGGTGAGTTTTCTCAGCCTGAGTTTGATTCGGGTTTGACCAATGTCACCTATTAGACAGTAGTCCCTGACAGATCCCTGACTGTCCAGCACTTTGGGACGCCTGATGTGAAAGGTGCTACATAAATGTAATTTGTTGTTGTAGTCTAATAACCATCACACCATTCTTAAGAGTATCCAAGCCATTCTTAAGAGTTCCACTCATACATGGAAATTCCATTGTCTGGAATGGAATATGTAATCTCTCACGCACAGATGCAACCTTCTTACCTAATTCCAGAGATTATTAGGTGCAGATTGGCAAGAGCCTAAACTTGGGAACCCAGAGTGTGCATTGGGGGTACTGCTGGAGTCTAATCAGCTGAAATCATTTAGTTTTCATTGGAATCACTGTCTGGTAAGCTTTCCTGCTGGACCTGAGTAGGACATGAATGAGTTAAATCCCTACCCCAAGTGACCAGTCTACCCCTCTAACTGCTACCGATGGACCAGGCTAAGTGGTTTGTCATCAGCAGTGCCCTCGAGTACTCCGGGCCTGTTTGGCTCAGGAACCAGATTACCGAGACCGCCACAGGGTGGACTCAATTCCAACATTCTATTGTTGAGCGTGTCAACTAGGAGCAACACAGATTGTTACTATCAAAAACACTGAATTGTTCTGTTAAACTACAGGGGTTCTGGACCTTCTATACTGGGATGTACCTTGTTTCTTCCACTCCACCAACTGCAGCCATGCTTCAGCACTTATGATCTGACACTCTGGAAATCTCTGCCTTAATCCCTCTGGCTTGTCCCCTCCTTGCCTGTCTTCAGATTGCATCTGAAGAACTTCTTCAACTGTGCCTATAGTCACCATCTCCCTCTATTCCTGCTACGTCAAGCTACGTCACTGTTAAGCACTCTGATATGTTACGCGTTTGAAGCTTGTTATTTGTTGTTGTTGTTGTTATAGGACCTTTTCTGATACTGATGTAAGGAAGCATAAATTAAGGTAGAGGTAACCTCAGGTTGAATATACATGTACTGAACCTAACTAGGTAATGGTTGATTCTGACTTTTTTTTGTACAAAGTGCTCATACTGATGAAACTAAAATTAAGATAATTTAAAATCAATAAACGGATGTGTGGGTTGGGATGTCGATCTGGAGCAGTACACAGAATCTGAAGCAAACACCTTTTAAATTTTGATTCAAAAAGTACCTAAAAATATCATAACATTTCACACGTATGGTGAAAAAATGTAAGGTAACCATAAAGAGGTAAGTCGCATGTCTTACCTCAAGTTAAATCATGCCTCAATTATACCACAAGCACTGATTTGAGGAATTCAGAAGTTTATTCCATGTTCAAATCCCTTCATGATCTTATCCTACTTACCTATGCATTCTCTTTCAGTTATATTCTACTGACTGTGCTCTATGCTAATAACAGTAAAAATAATAATCCTTGCATTGATATAGCTCCTTATCACGTCATTGAAACGTCTCAAAGCGCTTCACAGAATTTATCATAAAGTGAATTGACTGTATATTTTGTAGGTGAAAGCCATTATTTCAACTCTGGTCTACTGCTCAGTCCTCAATCCTACTGTCCCACAATTGGTGGCAGAGCTTTCAGCCACTATGGCCCTCTCTCTCTGGAATGCATTCCAAAAATGCCTTCACCATGTGCCTTCCCTCACTGCCTTTAAAACCCACATTAAAAAAAATCTCTTTGACTGTGCCTTTGCTCAGCTCTTTTCCTCCCTGTCAGTTATCGATTCCCCATTGCCATTGTAAGACACCACAAGAAGTTCAAACTGTATAAAGTAGTCCATGTTTCTTTGGAGTTTGTGTATTTTGCCCACAAAATATAGTCAAATCATTTTACAGTTTATTCTGTGAAGTGCTTTGAGACATCTTGAAGACTCGATAAGACGCTGAATCAAATGCAAGGATTATTATTATTATTATTACGTGCAAGTCTTGTTGCTCCAATCACTCTTAACCAGGCCTTTTACCCTGGAGGCTTCTTTGCATCAAAAACAGAGAGAGCTGGGAAAACTCAGCAGGTCAGGCAGCATCTATGGAGAAAGGAAAGTGAGTCAACGTTTCAGGTCCATGACTCTTCATCAGAACTGGCTTCTTTGCATACTCATCTCAACCCATGCACAAAAAATGATTATTTTATAAAGCTCACCAATAATATTAAGAACCTTAAGGATAGTTCACACCCAAGATTTTGCATAAGCTGTAATCACCCTGGACTTACACTGGAGTTATCCCAATCTATCTGAATTCTGAAGCTACTTACTTGAAATTGAATCAATGTCATTTAATCCACAGCTGTGCATTCTTCATTCTTCAATGAAGAAATTGGACAAAAATAATTGGTGCAGGATAACTACACATAAATGCACAATAAGACCTTTGATGGAGTTTTGTTTTATTAACCTAGATTTTTTGCACAAGAAATGGAACCGCTGGTTTGCAGTAATTAGCCCGAAACATACTGGTGGCAGAATATCTACAGGAATCAATGGTTGGTAAGACTCAGCTATCTGTCGTGTAAACATATTTTAATATTTTTATATTTTAAAGGTGTTCTTTTAATAGATTCCCATTTCCTCCACTGGCTTTATATTTGGTCATGGTACAGTGGCTGAACATCTGTTCAAACCCTGTTATCCAACTGTGTTGCAGCCACATATTTCTTCATCAAAAATAGCATGGACTCTAAATGTTGGCTGTTTCACTGATCTGAATTAAAAGCAAGCAGGACGCATGGATGGGAGTTTGTCTTACAACCTTCATTTCAAGGATCGATCTTACATGGGCGATATGTAAAAACTGAGGCCTTTCCATTTTCAGTTACTCAAGTACTCTGTAATCCCTGCACTATTTCTGTGTAGCTGCTAATGTTACTCACTCTGCAGCAATATCTTTGTGCAGCAAGGTTCTTATCAATCATGCAAAAAGGATCACAAGTGCATTTTGTAGAATTCAGAAAATTATGCGGTTTGCCATGGCTGCTTTGCAAATATGGATTTTGTGGGAAATTAATATTAAAGAGAAAATTAGGTCTTGCAACTTCCCAGTCTCTGGGCAATTAAAGTGTGTGTGTGTATGGTGGGGAGGGAGGAGGGAGCAAAATCACAGTGAAAGGTGTTTGGTGTGCAACCAAAGGAAAGGTATTTGGGAATTACTGAACATATAGGTACAGTGACAATTTGCAGGGATCCAACCTTAAGACTATATTTTTACTGGCATGACTATAAGAGCCAATAATATAACCAGTTCCTTGTGGTTCTAGGTTGGAATATTTCACTTCAAAGCTCAGCAGCTTCATAGATGCTGAAAAACGCAAAATATATATAGCCCACACTCTGGGTGATTGTTTATATCAAACAAAAAAACAAGTGTAAGAAAGATGTACATTGTGACCACTAACCTGAGGAATTTTCAGACTTTTTTTAATATTGCCGGTTTCAGGTGTGGCATTCTATCAGTTAATAAGGGATAAAGAGATACACAGATCTCAAAAAACTACTCACTATGACACTACTGAATTATCTCCCACATTCGGTGACACATATAAAAACATATACACAATAACATTGCATAGACTTTACATGTATATAATATAATAACATGTATATAATAATAGTAATCCTTGCATTTGACATAGCACCTTATCAAGTCTTCAAGTCGCCTCAAAGCGCTTCATAGAATTGAATTAAATTCAATTAAATTAAATAGAAGTAAACTGAATTCATTGTATATTTTGTGAGCAAAATGCGACAGCAAGTTGCGGACAGCAGTGTCCCACAAACAGTTATGGATTAAGTGACCAATTTTTTTGGAATGAATAATATATATATATATCCTTCCACATTCAGAGACATATATAAAAACATATACGCAATAACATCACGTAGACTTTATATGTTAATGTATAAAAATATATATATATATACACCTATGTACAATTTATCCCCAAATTTAAAAAAAATGTACCTTACTTTCTGTACCTTAAAATGGGAATATAAGAGCAGTCAGATGCAATTTTTAATTTTTTTTAAAATTGTGCTAAAATAAACGAATATAAAGCGGACTGAAAATCTAAAAGCTGTTGGCTGGCAACAGCTGATTTTATTTGGATCGGGATGTGTACAGTTTTAACGCGTTACATACACTATCCGCCTACACGGTGATTTCTGACGATATAAGCGCACATGTTCACTCTCACTCACTGCAAGATTCGACGCATGAATGTTCTGTGGAACAAGTTATTTGTCAAAACTCTCCCGCTTTCCACTACCCTCCCCCCCCCCACACACACACTTCCATTCCTCCTCTTCACTTGAGGAGGAAACCTAATGCAAACCGACTGCAAGGGGGGGAGAAACTTTTAGTTACTTGTGGTCACAAACTTCAGCGTCAATCTGTATGATCCAACAATTACAGCCTCACAGTGGCACATCAGCACTACCCTCTGCCATGTCATAACAAACAAAAACTAACCTGCCCAATAAACTATTATGGGATTGTTTCCCTCTCTCCGTCTCTCTCTGTCCCCCTCTCTGTCTCTGTCCCCCTCTCTGTCTCTGTCCCTCTCTCTGTTCCCCTCTTTGTCTCTGTCCCTCTCTCTGTCCCCCCTTCTGTCTCTGTCCCCCTCTCTGTCTCTGTCCCTCTCTCTGTCCCCCTCTCTGTCTCTCTCTCTGTCCCCCTCTCTGTCTCTGTCCCTCTCTGTCCCCCTCTCTGTCTCTGTCCCTATCTCTGTCCCCTTCTCTGTCTCTGTCCCCCTCTCTATCTCTGTCCCTCTCTCTTTCCCTCACTCTGTCTCTGTCCCTCACTCTGCCCTCCTCTCTGTCTCAGTCACCCTCCCTGTCTATGTCCTCCTCTCTGTCCCTCACTCTGCCTCTGTCCCTCTCTCTGTCCCCCTCTCTGTCCTTCTCTGTCTCTGTCCCTCACTCTGTCTCTGTTCCTCACTCTGTCTCTGTCCCCCTCTCTGCCCTTCCCTCTGCCTCTGTCCCTCTCTGTCTCTATCCCTCTATCTGTCCCCCTCTCTGTCTCTGATCCCTCTCTGTCTCTGTCCCCCTCTAAATCCCTCTCTCTGTCCCCCTTCTCTGTCTCTGTCCCTCTCTCTGTCCCCCTGTCTCTCTCTGTCCCCCTCTCTGTCTCTCTGCCCCCCTCTCTGTCCCTCTGTCTCTGTCCTCCCTCTCTGTCCCTCTCTCTCTCTGGGTCCCCACTCTGTCTCTCTCTCTGTCCCTCTCTTTGTCTCTCTCTGTCCCCCTCTCTGTCTGCCCCCCCCCCTCTCCCTCTCTCTGTCTCTGTCCCCTCTCTGTCTCTGTCCCCTCTCTCTCTGTCCCTCTCTCCCGCTGCTGAAATTGATTGACTGAAGCTGAAATCCCCCCCTGTTGCAATGTGATTGGGAGCTGGAGCGGAGCTGGAGCTGGAGGTGGGATCTGCAAGTCTCTCGCATTATAAATATACACAAGTAAATCGGTTCTCAGCATTTCGGTGATCATTAATAGGAAGTGAGTGAGCGCTGAAATTTGCTCGTGTTAAGCTTTCTGCTGCTACAAGAAGAGGAGAGAAAAAGAAAAGGGGAGGAAGAGGTTCCAAAAGAAGAAGGAATCAACGTCCAACAACGTCGCTTTCTCGTTGACGAGACGGAATAAAGTTCAGAGACTCTGCAGAAGCGGGTGGTGTGCGTGTTGGTGAGGGGGGAAAGCCACACAAAGTTATTAAGGACTGTTTCGAGGATTTTGTCTCTCACTAAAAGGTGACCTGTGTGTCGCTCAGCCACACGCTTTGCGGGCTATCCTTTATTATTATTATTATTATTATTATTGCCCTTTTTTGGCGTGTGTGTTGTGGAGGGAAAGGAGAGCAATAAACAATTAATTGAAGCGGACCTGTTTTGACTCCCTGAAGCGCCCAAACCCGGGAAGAGAAAAAATATGTTGGTTTTGCAAATCTGAATCGTATGTCGCCTTGAGATAGAGATAGAGACACAGAGAGAGGGGGAGAGAGACAGAGAGGGAGGGAGGGAGGGAGGGAGAGGGGGAGACGGGGAGGCTGTTGGACTGTATTTCTAAGGCTTGGCTTTTCTTTTGAAAAAAATACAGACGTGTATATATTTTTAAGCAAGAAATTTGTATGTGAGTTTAAAAAAAACTCTCTCCTCCCCCCCCCTCCCCCACCACCACCACCCCCCCCCCCCCTTTCTCTCCTCGTCTCCTCCCAAACTAAGCGGAATCGGGAGAGTCGCTGAGAGTGAGTGAGAGAAACAGAAAGAGACAGAAGCCGCAGCGGGAGGAGAGGAGGAGGAGAGGAGGAGGAGACATGGGGCGCTGTTACCTGGTTGGGGTTTACCTGCTCTTAGCTCTGGTTGGGCTGCACAGAGCGGGCGCCGCCGCCGCTAAAGACCTGTCCTGCCATCTGATCACCGTCCCTCTGTGCAAAGGCATCGGCTACAACTACACCTCGATGCCCAACCAGTTCAACCACGACTCGCAAGACGAGGCCGGCCTGGAGGTGCACCAGTTCTGGCCGCTGGTGGAGATCCAATGCTCCCCGGACCTACGCTTCTTCCTGTGCAGTATGTACACCCCCATCTGCCTGGAGGATTACAAGAAGCCGCTGCCGCCTTGCAGGAGTGTGTGTGAGCGGGCGAAAGCCGGCTGCGCCCCTCTCATGAGGCAGTACGGCTTTGCCTGGCCCGACAGGATGAGGTGCGACCGCCTGCCCCAGCAGAGCAACCCCGAGACCCTGTGTATGGACTATAACCGCACTGACCTGAGCACGGCAGCCCCCGGCCGGGCCAGACCCAGTGACAAGCCGCCCAGCGGCGCCGGCAAAGCCAATAAAGGCACCAACAACAAGAAGCCTCTCCAGCCCGCACTGCCGCCGCGCCCGGGCAAGGGCAGGGCGTGTGAGCGGGGCTGCCAGTGCCGCGCACCCATGGTGCAGGTGAGCAGCGAGCGGCACCCGCTCTACAACAGGGTCAAGACGGGCCAAATGGCCAACTGCGCGCTGCCCTGTCACAACCCCTACTTCTCCCAGGACGAGAGGAGCTTCACCGCCTTCTGGATCGGCCTGTGGTCGGTGCTGTGCTTCGTGTCCACCTTCACCACCGTGGCCACCTTCCTCATCGACATGGAGAGGTTCAAGTACCCCGAGAGACCCATCATCTTCCTGTCCGCCTGTTACCTGTTCGTCTCCACCGGCTACATCGTCAGGCTGGTGGCGGGACACGAGAGTGTGGCCTGCAGTCAGCAGCGGGAGTCTGGGCACATCTACTACGAGACCACGGGTCCCGCTCTCTGTACAGTGGTTTTCTTGCTCATCTACTTCTTCGGCATGGCCAGCTCCATCTGGTGGGTCATCCTGTCGCTCACCTGGTTCCTGGCCGCAGGCATGAAGTGGGGCAACGAGGCCATCGCCAACTACTCCCAGTATTTCCACCTGGCAGCCTGGCTGGTGCCGAGCATCAAGTCTATCGCCGTGCTGGCCCTCAGCTCGGTGGATGGAGATCCTGTGGCTGGGATCTGCTACGTGGGCAACCAGAACTTGGACAACCTGCGGGGTTTTGTGTTGGCGCCTTTGGTGATCTATTTGTTCATAGGGACCATGTTCCTGTTAGCAGGCTTCGTGTCTCTGTTCAGGATCAGGAATGTGATCAAACAGGGAGGCACCAAGACGGATAAACTGGAGAAGCTGATGATCAGGATTGGGATATTTACGGTTCTCTACACGGTGCCCGCCACCATAGTGGTGGCCTGTTATTTTTACGAGCAGCACAACAGGCAGAGCTGGGAAATGACTCACAACTGCTCCTGTCTGACAGAGCAAGAGGCCAGAAGGCCGGACTATGCGGTGTTCATGCTGAAGTATTTCATGTGCTTGCTGGTCGGGATTACATCCGGAGTGTGGATCTGGTCTGGAAAGACCCTGGAGTCGTGGAGAGCTTTTTGTACGCGCTGCTGTTGGAACAGTAAAGGGACGAGTGGCTCTATGTACAGTGATGCCAGTACCGGCCTGACCTGGAGGTCAGGCACCGCGAGCTCCGTGTCTTACCCCAAACAAGTGCCGTTATCCCAAGTCTGAGATTTACTGTGGACTTGATTTTTTTTGAGGCGAAAAAAAATTTGCCCTGAAGATTCTCACCCAAGCATCTTATTAACCTGTTAATGACCTTCTAATGGTATCCATTGGCCAAAAAAGCGAAGAACTTAGCCAGAAACCATATGCCTGGCCTTTTTAATACTTACAATTTTAACCATTTATATGCACAAGGACATCCAGTAGATGTTAATGTGGGAGGAAAGGAATGGTTTCAAATCCTGACTTAAATGCTGTTAATGCAAGGAATAAAAAAAACGTTGCTTTTAATTGCCACCGAAAGAAGAGGGGAGGAAACAGACTTAAATAGAAGTACAGTCCAAGCTATTCGATTGAAATCTTAATAATAGTTGTTCATGACCGGGTGCTTCAATCTGCCTTAAAATCCTGTTTTAATATTCCCATGTAATACGGGTTTCTTGCAAAAGTTGTATTTATATAATTATTTGTACCATGAACACAAAATCTGTAAATTGTGTACATAACAAAAAAAAAGTTTTTTTTTTGGAAGTATATACAGAGTATGTAAATTTTTTTGTATAAAAAAAAGTTTAGCGGCAAAACTTCGGCCAAAGCAAAAAAAATTGAAGCAATTATTTTATTTTGACAATAAAACGACTTTGATTAATTACTGTTTGGAGTACATTTTTGGATTTTTATTTCTGGGGTGGGGTTGAATTGAGCTTATCTGTGTACAATCTGCAGAGAGAGAGGGATGTTAATTTAGGAGAGAGACTGTTTCGCTATTTGAACTTTTTTTTACCTGCAGCCCAGTAGATGAGTACTTAATTTCTTAACCGAGCTCGCTCGAGTTGAATAGGGTTAATCTGTAAGGAGTGAGTCTTTTGAGACGAATATCTTTGATCTCTCGATTTCAAGCATGAGCTACTTTTTCTTCCCCCCACCCACCCATCTCTCTCTCTCTTCCCCCCCTCTCTTTCTCCTCCCTCTCTCCAGCCCTCAAGTCTTTCTTGTTTCAGTTCAGCCCAATCGACCACCATGGTGCTTTTTTTTTAAAAAAGAACTGAATTAAAGGAGACTTAAACTCGTTTAAACGGGGAGGAAGAAGTGGGGGAGGGATGGGGTTGGAACGGAACGACTTGTTACAGTTGGTGAGGATGAAGGGAAAGGCAGAACAGTCTTTTTAAACGGCTTTTTCTGTATTGTTGGCCAGACTGCAGGCAGAAAACCTTGGTCTTCGGCAGAGACAAAATGCTCATGAATGCCCTACAGGTGGTCCACTCGCATAATCCCCCAATTTAAGGCGCTCTCCTTTGCAAGACAATTGCATTACAAAGCACTCACTTTTTTGGTCCTAATTGAAGCGGTGGACAAGCATTATGGACCACAAGTTGTGTTTTTTATATTTTTTTAAAAAAAAGCACTCCATGGCAGATGCCTATAGCTGGACTATAGCAACAGCCAGGATCAACGGAATGGGCAGCCCTGTTCAGGCGAGTGTACGGCTCCTCGTATAAAAGGAGCATTTCATTATTTTCAGGAGGTTTGGCTGACATAAAAATAAACTCTGCCCGATACACACGTTAATTTTATGGCAGATTAGCGATAATTTAAAAGGAATTGGGAAGTTTGCACATTAGGATTGAAAGGATGGCCCCGGGTCCACTGTGACCCAACCGATCAAGAGAAGACAGAGACACTGGTCCATCCCCTGGTGTAACAGTCCCGCGTGTTTATAGACTTCTCAAGTTCACCAGGTTTAACAAGGCCAATGTTAACCTTGTGCTGAGTGTGTTTACAATGGTTGTTTGTGGGTCCATACAAATCCACAGTCACTCACTTCACTGTGACGCTGAGGGGCGCTATCCAGAAATGCTGCACTGCAGTGTGTACCTTTCTCCAGGCTATAACCTGCATTGTCAACACGCTTTGTAAACAAGTTTCCAATTAAGCAATGTAAGAGTTTTGCTCAGTGGGCTAAGCCTTATTTTGGGGGGTAGTGGGCGGAGGGGAGACGTCAAATTTGCTTTTTTAACCTTTTTTTAAATAAATCTTAAAATGGGGGGGAAATGAATTCAAAAATAAAATATTTGTAGAAAATGCTGCTGACGGTGTTAATGAGTGAAATCAGCTCCACAGAGGTAGACTTTACTACGTGGGAGCTTTCCTACGTGGGAAAGTCTACATTTATGAAGCCGATTTCACTTAAAATGTTCTCCTGCACCAAACTCTAACTTGTGCAGCGTTGCCACAGCTCCACTCTGTGGGTGGCGCTTGTGCATATTATCAGGTTGTGTCAATCTGTATATATTATCAGCAAAGTAAGTACAGGAGATGAGCCCCTGTTTAACAAAACTCCTGGACTCAAGGGACATGATTTTTTTTTAAAAAAAACACCCGAAAGGATTCTCTAATTATTAATCGGCGATAATTTCTGCAAAGCGAATATTGTCCATCCCTGGTTTGAGGTGTTGTGTTGTATTGTATTTTGTGGGACAAAACCTGCGGTGGTTTTGTCTGCATTTGCTTGAAAGGGAGGCAGAGGCTCACTCACTCGGTAAGTGGACAGAGATGGTGCTTTCACGAGGTGGCCAGATGTGTCATTTTGCTGTCGTGAATCTGAATATAAATGTGTATTTTTCCACGAGTTTCCACGTGTTTATGCACATGCTCATTGCACAGTTAAATTCACAAGTTAGTTGGATGCAAATCCTTAATTATTAATCCTGCAGTTAAAGCACACGATCCCAGGAGGTATATAATAATCCTTGCATTTGATAAAGCGCCTTATCGCGTCTTCGAGACCTCTCAAAGCGCTTCATGAAATATACTGTAAAGTGAGTTGACTGTATATTTTGTGGGCAAAACTATATATAAATATATATATATTAAATTGAGCAAAAACAAAAATAAAACATATATCCTCCATCCAGCTTTTTGGGGGCTAGTCAATTTCCTACAGTTTTCCATTTCATGAATGTTGCATTTTCATTGTTGAGCTGAGGAAGGGCGGGTAAGTCGTTGTCCTTGTTGTTGTTGTAAGAGTGTTTTTTTTCTTCTGTTAACTAAATCAGAATAATCTTGTTTTCATTAGCTACTATTAAGCAGGAGGAGATGGGAGAAACCATTTGCAATTGCTTGTGAAAGAATGCTACACTTTGCATTGCCCCTAATGGAGATGGGGCCGAATAGTTACATTCCTTACTGCTCATTGACTTGACAGTGTGAGTTGATGCAATGTAGGGAATCCTGGGAATGAACTTGCACAAAATCTTGACCCAGGCAGCTGCATTCCTAAAATAATCTTGTCATTTCTGGAGGGGGTAGGAATAGTGAGGGTGAGACAGGGTGAAATGACAAGCTAAATAATTCCAAGTCACCTGAGGTAAACGTTCAATGCATGACATTTTTGAAGAGGTGAGAAAGGTAAGCAATTTGCAACCAAACAGCCATCAAAATATTGGCACCAAGCTTCACCCCTCAGACTTGCACACAAATAAATAGAATTTCAACACTCAGAATGTACCAAAATGGTGGTGTCTTTCTCGTTCTCTGACTCCCCATGTTCTGGTTTATATCAATATCATGACATGTAAACAGCTTTAACTTAATGCTTTTTAAAAAAAGATAGGTCGGGCAATGTGTAATAGGGTACAATGATGAGTCAAAAAAAATCTATGTTTTAATTTTAAATCTTAGCTGTTATATACAGTACTAAAAGACAATACGTTTTAGTCAAACAGTTGTACAGCAGACCTGGGCCGGTGTTTATTTTTGATCACATGTACTGTATCAAGAAAATGAACAGAATGTTGAAATAGGTTTGAATGGTTGAATGGCCAACTCCTGTTCCTAATTTCCTAATATTGTCAGCAGTGGCTTTTTTTAGTTGAAACATGACATTGCAGCAATGCAGCAGCACAGCAAGAGGTCAGACTGTCATGGGAAACAAAGGGTTAATATAAGACTTATATCAGACAAAAACCTCACATGGCTGTCAAATGGAGGGCGGAGGGAGGAGGAAAGGGGAAGTGACAAAACCATCAGATGGAGTTGTGCCACCATGACACTGCTGTGTTCAGACTGAAGAATTTATCCTCATTCCATTCCATAATCAGAAATCAACTGCAAAACAGAATCAGTCCTCCGTCTCCTCCCACCCTCTCTCTATGATTTTTCCATCTGTCACTGCATTTCTCTGTACTTGTTTCAGCGGGACAGTTTATTTGCACAGATCTCTCAGGATACATGGGAAAATGTGGCAGCCAAATACTGCATTATGTTTAGATCCATTTATCATCTATGCAGTACACTCATTAAAAGGATGTTTATATGGCATGCAGGCCACTTTGAGTGAATATATCTCAAACATAGTTTGTTTTGAAGCTGTACAGTAGATGCAGCTGACTAAAAGGACTATCTCTCTGCTTAATGAAAGAGTTTAGGCTGTGTCAATTGGTAAATTACAGCACATGATGTAATTTGATGGTTCACAGAATTCATACACATTCCATTTCATGTCACTCAGAGTTCAATATATTGAATAAATAATTTATGATACTTCAGTAAATAAATACTCCTTGCATTTGAGTCAGTGTCCTATCGCGTTGAAATGCCATGAAGGATTTTACAGATTTTTCTGTGAAGTGTAGTGACTTTGTGTATTTATGGGCAAATGCAAATTTGCGCACAGACAAGTGAATAGCTATGTTTTTCTCTTTGGGAGATTGTTGGCCAGGACATCAGGAGAAACGGTAATCTTTTCAAAGATTGTCATGGGATCTTCAAAGTACACCTGAACAGATGAGCAGAACCTTGGTCTCATCTGAAGGACGGCTCTCTAAAGATGCAACGCTACGCCAACATTGCACTGGAGTGTCACTTTAGACTACAAATTCAAAGTCCAGAAGTAGGAATTGAGCCCTTGAGCCTATGATTCAAAGGCCAGAGTGCTACCAACTGAGATAGGTATAAAAGAAGTTTAGAGTTAAAGTATTTTCCTTTTGATTTCTTTGTGAGAAATCACTTTTTTTTAATGTAGTCTTTCTGCCCTATAACTTTATTATCTCTGTTATGCAACCCCCTTTTGAATGCCTTTTATCAATAAAAGTTTTTAAAATCAAGTGTATTGTTGTACAGATAGCAAAGGCAGGGCAAGGGATTTTTTTTGGCACAAGAAAATTGCAATTAATTCTGTTTAAACAAGTTACAGCTACCGTCAGAATTTTATCATGTGAAAAATATACCCGCTGTAAACATACTCTGGTCGAACTTATCATTCAACAATGATGCAATTATTTTCATGTAGCACATGAATGTCTTTGGAAACATTCATTTTGGAAGATGTCTAGAGCAACAGGGGGGTAATTATAGTGACTTGCAGTAGCACTGACATTGCAAGACCAAAGGGTAACACTATCCCCTGGTGTTAGCGTATCCATGTATTTTGCCCACAAAATATAGTCCATTCATTTTACA